CTCCAGGTTGCACTTCCTCATGATTGCCCCTGCGCCCCCAGTCCTGCCTTCGCCGCAGTCTCCCGCGCCCTCTTCCTCAGCCACCGCGTCGCACCTCTGAGAGCGGGGACCAGCACTGAAGAGACTCCGCGCGGGCCCGGCCTCCGGAGCCCAGAGCGCTGCTGCTCCCCTCTGCCTGAGGCGGAGCGCTCATCAGGACCGACCCGGTCCAGATCCGCGGTGTTACTGTGGCAACCCATCCATCTGATCCAGAACCGCTGTGTTACTGTGGCAACCCATCCATACCGTCCAGATCCAAGGTGTTACTGTGGCAACCCATCCATCTGATCCAGAACCACGGTGTTACTGTGGCAACCCATCCGTCCGGTCCAGAACTGTACTAGTCTTGTCAGAACAGGACTGGTCTTTAATCTGGGAAGGTACTGTATCTGGTCACTCGTCTCTGGCCTGATTCCAGAGCAGCAAGGTCTTTTCTATAAGATGGAAGCCAAAACTCTACACAATATTCTCAATGAGGCCTTAAGAGTACATGGCAGACTTTTAACACAACATCCCTGGATTTCACTCTAGCTTCCCGGTGTTGGCAAGAAGACGTTAATGACACGTCAACACAAACACCTCAGTGTTTCACAAGCAGCCTCTTCTATCCCAGCCTTGCAGTTCTGGGTGGCGCTGCCCGTGTGAAAATCCCTGCTCGTGCTCCAGCATGCACAGCTCTGCCGTGTGCCAGGCGTTTGCCCGGCCCTCACGCGTTCCAGCGCACAAAGCCCCCGCCGCCTGAGGAAGCCTAGTCCTGGGTCAGCCGGGGGTCGGGCCTGTTGACGGGGGGTCAAAGTGCAACAGCGGGCCTGGCCAATCAGAGCCCTCTCCCGCTTTCAGCGGGAACCAGCTCGCGCCTCGCCCGCGGTGCGCAGCTCTCGACCGCGGTGAAACCAGTGCATGCTAAGGACTCGTCAAGGAGACCAGCGGGTTATTAGCAGCCACATTCCGAAAGCAAACGTTTTGCCGCGCTGGAGACGGTCCAAAGACGAGCAAGGATGAAACATTCCTGGGCTTGAAGGAATGTCTTCACATTGACAAGTTTAATCAACTGAATCCTTTTTCCCCCCCCGTCGTGATACAGGTATTCTAAACCCTCAAAGGCATCAACAAAGTTAACCCATTGTTCTGCAAGCAGGGAACGTGGTTCAGTCCCTTTCAGAGCATTTGGAATGAATGGCCTGAAGACACTTCTGCTCTGGGTGACCTCAGCTGCCCAGTTCTGTTTCTCTCTCGATGCACCTGCTTGATTGACCACTAGCTGAAGTGCTCCTGGTCTCTGGAAACAAGTGATCTAAGGGATGTTAACTGGGCTTTCCGGGACCA